GATGTTTGCTTTTGTCCGTTGGCATCCTGTTTTGTAAGGACGCTGCTCGTTATTGTCTGCCTGGCTACTTTCTTTAGGGTTGTCAGAAGGATTCTCTTCCAGGCTCGTTAGAAACTCAAAGAGACCCTGCATTGTGTACATGTTACAACCCCAACTTCCCGCCGGGAGTGGTTTTAATCAAGGCCTTGGTGGTCTCTGCAAATATACAGAAGGAAATGTGCACCTCCACCTGCACCTCCACACCTTCTCTCTCATCTCGATCTCCCAAAACAAATTACTGCCTCCTCCCCCCAACCCCTTCTCTACTTCCCTCCTCCTCACAATCCAGGGCTGATGTCATCTATGCCAAACAGCCTCGTGAAACCTGACTAATTTCAGGTGCATGATTTAGGTAAGGACTCTCAGCACAGAGCGATTATTTCTATCACAGCTATTTTCACAATTGTTTTGGCCCCTCCTTGGAATGTGAGCTTCTGGTGGGTGGAAGCCATATCCACAGAGCTTTGCAATGTGTTGGGAATATAGTAGGTGCTAAATAAGCCTGAGTCAAGTCAAGGAGTATACTTCCTAAAGTGTTACATACATACAATAAAGTGCACACATCTGCAATATATACACAGAGAGATAAATGTATACAATGACCACCCAGATGAACATTATAGAACTTTCCCCAGAGGCTCCCTTACCAATGGGCTTTTTAGTTGTTCTGGGGATGAGCCCCATCCAACCTGTGAGAGCAGGCTGCCTGCTAGTAGGAGACTCCAGGAGGATGTAAGATGCCCTGATTTGTCGCAGGTAGAACGCTCAGGATGGAGGGAGGGGCATTTTATTCTAGAGAAAAGCACCAACAGGGGGATTAGAACCTGGACAAGCCACTACTCTCCTGTCTCCTTTCCAATCCCAGCTGTCAGAGTCCCACAGGAAAGAGAGAGCAAGTAGGAAGGATTTTTGGGGAGGACTTTGGCAGAGGGACTGTTGACAGGTGTGAGAGCAGGGTCAGACTGCGAACTAGGGAGATGGCACCTGGGAAACAGAAACCTTCCAGGGTTTCAAGGGTTTGGGACTAGGTGGTCACACCTGAGTGGGCAGGAGAACAAGGGGGCGTGGCCACCTGATAGGCCGGAAGTGGGTAGTTGATTAGGGGTGGGGGCCACATAATAAGCTAGAAATGGATATCTAATCAGGGGCGGAGCCACCTGATGGCCTAAAGTGGGTATGTGATCAGGAGCAGGGCCACTTGATGGCTGGAAGTGGGCACCTGATCAGGGGCCAGGGCCAGGTCATGGCCCTAAGTGGGCACCTGATCAGGGGGTTGTGCCAGGTGATGGCCGGAAGTGGGCATGTGATCAGGGGCAGAGCCACCTGATGGCCGGAAGTGGGCATCTGATCAGGGGCCAGGGCCAGGTGATGGCCCTAAGTGGGCACCTGATCAGGGGGCTGTGCCAGGTGATCATTGGAGAGTGGGGCTGAGTTCCCACCTGATGTCTGCACCCCTCTGTCTACTCTAAGGGGTCAACACACTTTCCCCTCCCAGACTGGTTTGAGGACCCTGGGGCTGCAGGCGAGACCTGGGTCTAGTGACAGGCTGGGGCCCAGGCTTAGCTGATCCCTGGAGTTGTCCTGGAGCTGA